TAGATAGATAGATAGATAGATATTGAAGGGCTGACAAAACAGGAACAAATGAAAGTCAGCATAACAACAATTAGCAAATAATTCTGATTGATTATTTTTTGGGAGTTACCATTTTATTTCTCTCTGTTTGTAGGATCCCAAGCTATAAAAACCTTTGGAAAATCCTTACCTGGCAAGCATCAACTTTTCCATCAAGGTAGCCAGCGCAGAGCATTCTGGGAGTAATGTCACCATCGTATATACAGGAACTATTGCACTTCTTAGTGCTAATTAAAGGCACCATAGCTTCCTTCAGGCTGCGGGGCATGTGTGCTAGAGGAATACATATTACAAGATAATTTCCACTAGGATAACAATCAAACAATACATCAGTAGATTTTTTTACCATTGAAAGGTTTTTACATTATTGTTTTATTGAGGGTTCTACTTAAATAATTATTACAAATTATATAGACAAGACTCACTTTTTAAAGCTTGCTTGGGATTCTGGTGGGGGGGCAGCACTGCTAGCATGCATTTTGGTAATATTTGCTAAATTACAAATGAAGATATTCTCTGCTAGGACACAGACATATTCAGCTGTTTATTTTAAGAGCAAAATCTCTAAGAAAGAGTCTTCACAGATAGACTTTGGAGTAAGCTTTCCACCTACTGGCTGAAGGTGGTAAACATTTAATATTGATATATAATGACTACCCTCTGTAAAAGGTCCCAGCAATCACTATAAAAAGAATGGTAGAAATTTCACACAAAAAAAATCACCATTAGACCATTAGTAAGCACATTTAGCTGAAACTATTGTAGGAGATAGTCAGCCAAAGACGTTATCATAATGCCATAATTTATTTCTCCCCTTGCGCAGAGAGGTTCCTCCACATTACATATGTTATGTCCCCATCTTACTGCATGTCAAAGCCTCTTATGAGGGGCCCAGCAGACCCATAAAGGGTAAAGTACCATTCCTCAGCTTCTTGGAGGTAATGCTAAGTCAGTAATAACCTACTTCTTTCGGCAATGGCTGTTGCTTCTAAATTAATTGATCCCTGAGTAAGCAAGAGCTGTTCTGCAATGGAGAGTGGCTGTAAAAAGAGCTTTGATTTCATTACTCAAAGATCAAACTGGATGAAGACCATATTTGTCACAATGGTCATTGCTGCTCTTTGAGAACGATTATACTTGAGACTGTGGTAGGGTATAAATGGCCCCTATTAAAAAAGTATTTGCCCTTCTATTGGAGGTTCAAAGATGTCAAAGTTAGCTCTTTTGCACACTGATCTTAATACTCACTGTTGTCAGGATGAGTATGGCCCCAGCCTGAGACCCAGCACTCCGAACCAGTAGGGAGATCTTGGTCATATTGTGGTAGACATACTGGACGTATACTGTCTGTGCAAAACCATATAAGTCAATTTAAGAGCTATCACATTAATACTTTATGGGTCATACCTATGCATAAATGATGTGCTTGAACAGCAGTTCCGCAGTTCAGCTGTTTGGCTGTCAGGGTAAATGTAATCAGGTGGACCTGTGCTGTGATGATGAACCTACACCCAGATGCTGTGTTCAATCCATATGGGATACACACAAATTAACTCCAAATTACACTGCGCTCAAGTGAGTGATACAATAAAATAATATCAATCTGAAAAGTGCATCCACAATGCAGTTTCCTCAAAAGAACACTGCACTCAATTGAGTGATACAATAAAGTGATTAATTCCTAAATCCTAGTAGTACAAGATCTCAGCAAAATCATAATTAACACAAATAATATATGTATGTGAATAGATCAGTATACATCTTGCATCAAAGGATGACCGTATAAGCAACACATCAATCTATACAATACACCTTCTGCAAAATTGACATTCTCACAGCACTATATAATAATGGTTATATAACCTGAGTAGTTTAAGGGTTTCTCCAGTTTCATCAGGGCAATATCATAGTCATGACTTCTATCATCATACTTCTGATGATAAATGATTTTCTCCACTGCAGACACAGAGGCTTTCTGTTTCACTGAAGAGTGGCTAATGATGCCTGCAAGCACCGACCAGCTGGACACTTGAGGAGACCTATAACTTAAAACGTAGATAAATTCATATCATACCTATTTATACTGTATGGCACTTGCCTGTAGAATTTAACAATAACAGGGTTATTCACAAAAGGGTGAAGAGTTTGGAGAAAGCAGGAGAAGTGAACAATCTAGGCCAGAATTCTCAAATTCAGCTCACTTTCCAGTTCAGCTATGTTGTCCTAGATTGTTTACTTCTCAAGCCTTCTACTAACTCTTCACCCTTTTGTGAATTACCCTGTAACTTTTTTCTTAAGCCTAAAACCTTGCATTATCTTGCTGCACCACTTAAAAGGAGAACTATGGGATAAGTGGAATGCCCCTTAAGGCATTCCACATGGGGTCCCTCCTAAATATTCCTACCAGGCTGGTATTGTTTGGGAGGGGGAACTGCACGCTTTAAAAAAAATCAAAATAAAATAAAGGTAATTTTTCTTTCTTTAGAAATGTCAGTTTTGCTGCAGCAGGTTCTGTACATTGTACAGATTTTCCACTTTACAGGCAGGTTAAGAGGACCCCCCAGGCACGATATTTAAAGGAATTTTTACCCTTTATGTAATGTTAAAATCACTGCTCTTTTAAAAACAATATTTTTTAAGAGTGTTTTTTTCATTGATTCATGTCCCCCAGGGCAGTACCCAAATCCCCATACACTTTTTATGGACAATAAATTGCATATAAGGCTTCAAAATGGGGACATTTGATTTTCAATGTTCTACCACCATAGACTTGCATTGAGTTCAAGTTCTGACTTTTTCCATTTTCTAAAGTTCAAATTCGAACCAAACACAGGGGTGTTCGGCTCATCACTAACCTTAACACCAAACATCAGTCATTCATGTTGTAAAGTAGACATTTGCTAGATACCAGTAACTGGCAAATTATAAAACTAGATATATACCTGATCATGTAAATCCATGAATAAACATAAAATAATTAATATAAAAAACGTTTAATTCTATAAATATCTACTTCACCAATAATAAATAACACCATAATAAAGCAGATAGATGTATCAAACAACACATATAAAGCCTGCAACCTGAGCTGGATTTAGATCTGCATGACAAAGAGCTTTGGAATAATCACACAGACATCGCATGTACGGAATTAAATAAGCAATTAATTTGAGGACTTACATCCATCTGTATTTGCACCCACACACTGAAGATTTATATTGTCCAGATCTAATTGGAACTCTGGTGTAGCATGGGAGTGTTGGATGACAGCGCCTCAGGATGCACAGCTTTTCCTATTTGTTTGCAGTGAAGCATGTTTTTTGGATGAATACTTCATGTTCATGAACAGCGAAAAATAGTACATATTTGAAAATTGAAGTCTTGAATGTTCACTGCAGCGCCCTATGCTTGTCTTTTCGGGCACTATAAGCATATTGCTGAAATTGTCATCTGTGACTACAGATGCATTGAAAAATTAAATTTTTTGTTTACATAATAGATCAAGCTCTGATGTAGAACGGGCGTTTGCTCTGGCGGCACCTCAGGATGCTCAGAGTCTTGGATTGAATTCAATCTAGTCCTTCCCTGAACAGTATATACGTACAAAAAGCGAATATCGATACATGTTGAAGCTTGGAACTTTTTAATTTCAGTACACTGTGTTTGTGGTTTGATGCGCATACAATAAGAAATACAGAAAAATGTATACTAATTGGATACATATGGATGCGAGTTCAAAATAAACCAACAGAAACAACTTGAGTGCTCTGGTATAAAGCTACAGATACTTGATTACAAGCTCCCAATTTCGATCTCTGCAGACTTATTTGAGCCATGAACAACAACAAAAAAATCAGCATTTATACTATCTGTGTGTATTGTAACAAGGACACTCCACTGTAGTCCAGGTAGGTCAAGGAAACACAGTTTATTGAAAGGGCAAACACAAAATAGCTTGAAACAGCAACATACGACAGTCTTTTAGCTTCGCTCGGTAGCTTTCCACAGCTTCAAGACACTCACGCTTACTCACCCCTCATGAGCCCTCACTCTGCTCTCTCTTAGCAGTCTGTCCGACAGGTCCCTGGGGTCACCGACCTTCCTGACCTCTCCCAGCCACCCCTGGCTGTTCCGTGTGCGTCCAGCACGCACCCGAGTTTGTCTGTGTGCTCCCTGCACACGCACACACAACTCCAACACTGACTCCAGGGTGGAGCTCTCCTGACTCACAGGTGGGGCTTCCTGATAAAGGCTGCTCTCAGCCACCTGATTAGCCCAGGCTGGTCAATGGCAACACCTGGCCCCAGGACTGGACATCTCATCCCACCCAGAGCTCTACGAAATCTCCAGAGCTCCAGATCCCAGCTGAAAATAGGAAAACCTGGAATAACCTGAAAAGCCAGGTTCTTCCTTATAACCTGCTTTACTTTCTGGACCCTCTCAGCCCCTTTGGCTGAGAGTCCTGGGTGCCAAGGTCGCCATCCTCCACCGTGGCATTGGCTTACACTGCCACAGTATATATATATAAGGTTCGCAGGTTTTATATGTGTTGTTTGATACACTTATCTGTTTTATTATGGAGTTTTTTTTTGTTGGTGAAGTAGATATTTATAGAAATAAAACTTTTTTATATTAATTTTTTTCTCACGGTCTTTAGTGCTTTTTCAAAGGGACATCTCTTTATATGCATTAATGTTTATAAAGCACAACCAAGATTAGTAAATATTGAGACACGTATTCTGACTCTCAATGGTTAACAGTATGTGTAAGTAATGTTTATACTTAAAGTGACATTAAACCCTCAGATTTTTTAACATAAACCAATACTGTAATGTGTGCCTTACTGTAATGCATGGTTGTTTCCCTTCTCTTTGCTGCTCTTCTTTTTAAATCCTTATCTCTTCTCATGCTGGGCAGAACTTCTGTTTTGCAGCAGACTGCCTTGTCTCTGGAATGGATACATGGGGGGTGATTTACTAACCTAAACACACGCACTCACCAGGTGCGTGTGCATTTTTACACAGCAAAACGTATTTATAAACCAAACACGAGCAACGTGTCACATTTTCACACCGTTATGGCGCATTTTTATGTATTTACGTACGTGCGCGTCATGTAGCATGCATCATAGGCTACACGCCGCTCTAATGTTTTATGTTAAAAAATCTGAGGGTTTAATGTCACTTATCTTTGCAGAACCAACCTGAGTTGTGTCACTGGAGGGAAGAGGGTTGGGCATAATGAAAGTTAGTAGTACAAAGCTGAAATGGCCAATAGCAAAACTACACCTTCAGTCAGCCTGAGGATCTGGCCCAGACCATAATCATTCCCTGAGAAGTGAAAGGGTAAAAGGGAACTCATCCGTGACTATGGTAATGAGAGAAAATCCCATGTCTGCTCTTTAATTGTTGCTATTTTAATGGTTCCTTATATGATAATAATGATATTTTGAATATCAGGGAAAGCTTGCCTATTAACACTTACTTGTGCACACAGTGTGCAGCAGTTATGATCCACTTAGGTGCAACGATGGTGCCACCACAGACATGCTTTTTGTTAAGGTACAAGCTGACTTGCCATGGCCAGCGACCTAAGACAACATCGCTTCCTCCAATAATCCTGGAAGACTTGGAACGAGACCCACATTCTGCAGAATTTGCAACATCAACTATGTAAGTTTGGACTGAAGAAAGAAAAATCTAGAGGAGCATTTAAATAACTTAACGCAGCTATGACAGGATCTTATAAGTCTTGTGGCAGTTTCAGTATTTTAACAGCTTTGCTATCAACAGTAAGGTATGTGAAAGCAAAGTAAGCACACTTTAGTGATATGTCACAATTGATACAAGATCATTTGCAAGGGGAAAGAGGGTTGACAGCAGTTTAATGATCTTGTATCAATTGTGACATATCATTAAATTCACAGTAACACTAAAGTGTGCTTTACACTACCATGCATGCAATAATACATCCTCTACAAACCCAACCCACGAGGAACCTTTTAATAAAAGCTTAAAGGATAACTATAAAACTGTTATGGGCTGCCTTGTGATCTAGAAACTATACCCATATGAGGAAGAGGGACACCTTTTAGCACAAAGTATGTTGGCAAAGGACACACCCCAGCCATGCCTCCACTTATGTGGACTAGGTAGAATGAATACACAAAATATGATAGGTTAAACCTGCAACCAACAGATTCCCCATCCATACTAAACAGCATGAAATAATTTCTTTCTGCCAAAGCCAAACATTTTTCACCCATCCTCCTTTGATTTTTGTATCTGACAGGAAGAGACAGGCAGGGCCACCCACTGAGCAAATTGTGTGCAGTTCAGAACCAGACAAAATATGCTTAATGTTTAGCCAGCTTTCCTTAACCACGTTAAAGAAAATAATAATTTTTTTCAAATCTTCAGTTTTTTTCAAGTTTATGTAGATATATGTATATAGTTTTTTTCTACATTTTGGATAAAGTAGGGAAGGATTACATAACCTGCCATTTTTTTGTTGCTGTCTATGAAGAGATTTCCAATCCCTTTGTTAAAATAAAGTCTAATTTCTTTTTTTAGTTTTCATTTCAGGAAAAAAAGAAAAATCTCCTCAACAGGACACAGACAGCAAGAAATAAACTGACAGGGGTTTTAACCCACCCCTTGTCTGTTCAATAATAAAAGCTTTGAGTTTTCATACACTTTGTATAATGTGTATGCCAGGTTATCCTGCCATTTGCGGAGAAAGCCCACCTCTGATGAATGCCTTGCATTCCACACCCGATGCATGGATAACCTTCTTTGCAGAGTTGCCAGTAGACATGTGCGATTCGTTTAGTTCCGAATCAAAATTCGGACGAAATTTCGTAAATTCAGAGATTCAAGTGCATCCGAACTCCGAATTACAGATATAATGAATGCAAGCGAATCCGAATTTCCGATTTTGAAATTTTTTAGCGGTAGTCTACATGAACTTTCTTTTTCGTTTCGTTTGTTCGTTGCATATGAAAAGTATTATGACACCTCTGCTCACAGACCCGTAGGGAATTCGGGAGATTACAGGAGGATGTCAATAGCAGGAGATGTCATTTTGTAGCATGTTTTTGCCGGGTGTGAACGGACTTTTTTTAACTTCGGCGGGTCGGCAGGCGTCGTGCATCGCGATTGACGCTGGATTACATCGGTGGAGCCATTTTTTTAAATTAAAGGAATAGTCAAAAATTGTCTCTTTTTTCAATTAACCCCTTCAAGACCAGGTGTTTAGACAGGTGTTTAGACCCCCTTCCTGGCCAGGCCATTTTTCAGTATTCAGCGCTGCAGTACTTTGATGTTTATTCCGTCATGCAACGCTGTACTGAAATTAATTTTATACCATTTTTTGGGGACAGATAGAGCTTTCTTTTGGTGGTATTTAAACACCACTTTTATTTTTTACTATAATTAGGAAAAATTACAGCAAAAATGTTGAAAAAAAAAGTTTTTTTTTTTACATTATGTTAGGAAACATTTATTATTACCCAGTTTTTTGGTAAAATATAAAAGCTCGGGTCACGTCGGATAAATAGACACCAAACAGGTCAACCTTTAAAATTGCGCGCACCCGCGAAATCGCAGAAAACTACCATACCCAAAATTGGCCATAGGCGACACTTTAAAAGCTTTTACCGCTCATCAGTTTAGTGTTATCAGTGATTGATGGCCCTAGGATTATTGCTCTCACTGCAACGTTCGCGGCGATATGTAACATGTGCGGCGTAATGGGCGCAATAGTCTTTTTTGCATGTATGCGCCCCCAACGCATGTTTGCATGCGTGTATGTATGGGTGGGGACTTGAACATTTTTTTTCCTTTTTTCCCCCCACTAAACTTTATTGCTATCACATACGGGGGCTAATTAAACTCCCCTATGTGATAGCAAAATATGTGACAGGTCCTCTTTATGGAGACATCAGGGCCACCCCAGACCCCTAATGTCACCTAGGACCCCCCAAAAGAAGCTGATGAAGCACAGATCTGCTCCGTCAGCTTCTTTCCAGCTTCTGAAGCTGGAGAGTGACACAAAAATGCGGGAGTGATGTATTATACAACACTTCCGCATTCTTGCAGAGGAGAGAGGACCGGAGGGAGCTCGTGTAACGATCTCCCTCTGATCCCCTTTGAGACAGGCGACATGCTGATCCCGGGCTCGCACTGGGCAGCGGATCAGCGGGACAATGGCAGGGGGACCGCGGAGGGGGGACACACCGATCGGCACACCATACACGCGATCCGCTGGCTCTACAGCCGGTGGATCGCTTGTATGGTAACAGGCATCGCTGCCTGTTTTCAAATACCGTTTTCAAATTTCCCGCGTGTGTGGGGCGTGGGGCGTGTCTGAGCGGACGTCTAAAGACGCCCGCTCAGATCTAGAGACCTCTCGGCCGGCCGTTGTAAAAATACCTGAGGTGGTTAAAGGATTTTTTCTAAAAGTGTGATTTGTTTATTTACTTTGAATGTAACCCTTTAGTACCCCTTACTCATTCACAAGGGGGGGAGCATCTGGGTGCCCCTTAATTAAAAGGGGTACCCCAGTGCAAATAAGCCCCTTGCCCGCAGACCCCCACAACCACCGGGTCAGGATTGTGGGTAAGAGGCCCTTGTCCCCATCGGCATGGAGACACCCTCTCAATGCCGAGGGCACATGGCCAGGTAAGGTGCAGGAAGGGGGGGGGCGCTTGATCGCCCCCCTCTTTCCTGCCCTGCCGGGTCTGTGCTCGGATTAAGGGTCTGGTACGAATGTTAGGGGGACCCCACGTTTTTTCCCAGCATATTTTGGGGCTGGGGTTCTCCCTTAAAATTCCTACCAGACCTAAAGGGCCTGATATGGATTTTGGGGGGAACCCCACACACTTTTTGTTTTAACTTGGGGGGGTCGCTCCTAGCAATCCTACCAGACTTAAAGGGCCTTAAACTGCCTTAGTCATAGCTAGTTGCTAAACACTGTAGCTCCTGTTAAATTAGCACACCACACAGGGTGCAAAAACAATCACTTAGCAACACCTAGAACTCATAAAACTTATATCACTCAACCCACCTATAATCCAGAAGAAAGGACAACCTGAATTGAATAATCACATACTAAATAAATATGTAAATCTGTCAATATATTGCTAAAAAGCAGAAAAGCATGTATAGCAATAATCATTTTTATTTAATTAATTTTATTTTAAATGCAAGCTGATAACATTTAATAGGAAAAGCCTTTCCTAATACAATGGAGCAAACATTCTTGTTTTTTGTATGAACTCCACAATATCTGCAAGTGGAAACTCCATAATTATAAGAGCCCTGAACTGAGAGCCAAGTTTTACTTGTATTAACCTCATAAGTATTTCTCAACAGGGAGGGAAATAAAAATGAATCTAGTGGTGCCCAATGGCTCACAAATCTACATCCTTTGGACAGAAATTCATCATACTGTCAGGATCGAGCATAGCAAGATTCTTCTGAATTATATGCACCATCTTGTTAAATTCCTTTGAGTAGGCGGTTAGAAATTTAGCGATATTGGATTTTTTTTCTTTCGGCTAGAATTACACCATGTTGTCTCACATATTTCTTGTTACTGTCACTATGCAATAGCTCACCTCTAGATTTCTGCATAGCTTTCCACTTCCCTTCTCATTGAGCCAAGATGGATAACCCCTTTATCTCAAACATGATGAAATAGCATGTGCTTCTTTATGGAAAATATCCAGAGTAGAGCATTTATGCAGTGCACTGGTAAGTTCTCATGTTGGAATCACCCTGATAGTGTGGCTAGGATGACAACTGGTCACTCTCAAAATAGAGTTACCAGCTACAGGTTTGTGGAAAGTACAAATACAATTTCATTGCCCATAAAACTAGATCAAGCAGCTACAAAAGGGCTTCCCATGTGCAAGAATGTAGAGCTCTCCCCACCAGTCTATAAAAAAGTTGGCAGCAAAAATGATATTAATTATTTACTATAACAGCTGTATTTACATAGATGATATTCTAGGGCCTTGAGTGCCAAATACTCTGGTATGAAAAAAGAAAGGGGACAAACATTTAAAGTGACCCATAAATATTCTTCCACTGGAAATCCAATCATTGGCCTAAAATATGTCTTTATTAAATCTTAACAGATGTTAAGCTACTGGTTGTAGGTGGGCATTCACCCAATGTCCCAATCTCTCTGTCAATAAACCTATCCCAGCTACGCTAGGGCAACCCTTGGGAACAAAAGCTCCCCCTTGTCGATCTTAGGGAAATAATAAAACACTGGAACCATACGTTGTGGCGAAGTCGAGCACATTGCGGGCTGGAATTAATTGCAATGTACCTCCTGCACTGTTAATGCATGGTATTTGCAATTAACACATGGCCCTGGTGTGAACGGGTTCTTAGCAAACAGAATGTCCTTCAGATAGGGTTTACATATACATTAATACAAATTCTAATAAAAGTTTGCACCAGCCATCTCACTAAAACCAATATTTCATCTCTTCTATTCCCCTGCAATCCTTGTATCTTTCTGTGTGTGCCCTCTGTTTGATCTGATTATACATTTTATAGTGGCAAATGTTGTCTACAAATGGAAATAAACCTTACTGCCCCAGATAGGGGTTATGCTAAAGCCAAAAATTAATTTTGGCCACAGAAATAAGCCAAAGATAAAATTCAGAATTATGTATTTTCGATGACTTATGTATTAGTGATTTTTGTACAGTTTTCAGTTCAACAATAGATGCAAGGGGCAGGGGACATGACTCACCTGAACACTTCAGTGCAACAACATAACCCGAAAGACACTCCCTTCTGTAAAAAAAAAATTGTTATAAACACAATGAAATACACTACAAAATAAGCTGCAAGCTTAATAGTGATGGGCTCGATGTTCGAGCCGAGCGTGAGATCGACTTGAACATCGGCAGTTTGTGTGCTCGGCAAACACACAAACTGTCAGGGCGTTTGGTGGGCTGTTCGCATGCCAAGCGCCCCGCACAAGGCCCCGTGCATTGTGGGCCCTGATTAGCTAAAACCTTGCACTTAGCCACAGGTAAGGTGCAAGACTTTGCCCAATCAGGGCAAAGAGAACTGTGAGAGCAATGATTGGGCAAAGTCATGATGACTCTGCCCAATCATGGCTCACCTGTTACAACTGTAAACAGTTGGGCGGAGCTAGCTGTCACTGCTAGCTCTGCCCAATTGTTTATAAGTTACAGGCATCTGTGAAAATGCCATTCTGCGGCGGGTGTTCGTTGCAGCGGACGGGACGGCATCGTCGTTTAAAAAAAAAGTATTTCTATTTATTTTTTATTGTTTTGCTTTTTATTTCATCGAGTTGTCTTTGTCAGGGACAACGCTAGACGTTGTGATTGATGCTGGATTACGTCGATGGATCCATTTTTTTTTAAAATAAAAGACATGTCAAAAACATGTCTTTTGTTTTTTTTTCAAAAGTGTGGCCTCTTTTTTAATACTTTTATTTAACCCTTTTGTGAATGGGTAGGGGTGGAAGTACCCCTTACTCATTCACATGGGGTGGGGCAGATCTGGGTGCCCCTATATTAAAGGGGTACCCTCATGTGAAAAAGCCTCCTGCCCGCACCCCCACAACCAATGCCCCAGGGCACATGGACAAGGTGCTTTTCCAGGGGTGACCTTGGAAAAGCACCCTCCCAGTGCCGAAGGACATGTGGCCTGGTATCGCAGGGAGGGGAAGTGTCACTTTAAGTTAAAAAAAGTTTCATATTAGCATTTCAGTTTTTTATAGGAAGTTACTTATAAACCATCTGAGGCATATATAAACAACATATTAAAAGCATTCCTAATGTTTTTTGTCTAGTCAAGCTAAGCCTTAGAATTTTTTGAAGGAAATGAGTGGCTAATTAGCTTATGGAAAAAACCAGAGCTGAGAGAGGTGATAAAAGACTGAACACTAACGGGCTGCTTTATGATGTGTTTGCAGTGCATTCATTTCTATGCTACTCGGCTCTATCTAGTGGCAGTAATGTGTTTGCGAATGTCATTTGCACAGCTATGCACTGTGCAAATGCAGTATAATTCAGCCCTTTAATTTCATAATAGAACATTTCAAGATTTTGTATGCTTTCAAATATGTATTAATTTCAGGGAATAACATACCTGGTTTGCCATATATGTTCTGTTGAAGTGGTCTGAGCAAGAGGTATCTGTGCAAATCCTTGAGTATGATTTAGTCTGAAGTTTGTTAGGTTTACAGCTTTGTGGTGAATAAGCCTTTGGGAAGTTATTAAAAAAAAACAACAAAAGTAAATTATACAGTGCTGAATACTTTATCTCTTTATATAAAAAAAAATCCTTATAACTTAAAAAACAGACCTTCTAAATCCAAAATGTAACAGATGTATAATGTGCATGAAACATGGCCAAAGGCAACATTAGCTGTCTCTCTTGTAAGTTAGGAATTGTTCACAGGTAGCTGGTGAGTCTCATTAGCATGCAGTTGATAGTCATTGCTGACATATGATATATGATAAATACAGTAGATAGATTTTTTTTTTTTAAGTTAGTGCTTCTATACTAGTGCAGCCAGGTGTGGAATGTGGTAATGTGGTAATTTTGCAACTGTAAGAACAGGATGGGAGTCGCATGCCCCTACGTTGTAGTGCAGTGGAATTTCCTACCTGATATAACCTAGTCGTTTACACACAAGTGTTGCCCAAGCTGAGTTCCATCCTTCATGGCAGGTTAGGAGCCATTCTTGTCTATATTCCACCTGTACTTCCAACAATAGGTTTTCTGTGTTTATTCTGAAAGATACTGAAACAATTTTTTATTAAATAATGTTTTCCTAAGCTAACGAATGTTAGGGGGACCCCACGTTTTTTCCCAGCATATTTTGGGGCTGGGGTTCTCCCTTAAAATTCCTACCAGACCTAAAGGGCCTGATATGGATTTTGGGGGGAACCCCACACACTTTTTGTTTTAACTTGGGGGGGTCGCTCCTAGCAATCCTACCAGACTTAAAGGGCCTTAAACTGCCTTAGTCATAGCTAGTTGCTAAACACTGTAGCTCCTGTTAAATTAGCACACCACACAGGGTGCAAAAACAATCACTTAGCAACACCTAGAACTCATAAAACTTATATCACTCAACCCACCTATAATCCAGAAGAAAGGACAACCTGAATTGAATAATCACATACTAAATAAATATGTAAATCTGTCAATATATTGCTAAAAAGCAGAAAAGCATGTATAGCAATAATCATTTTTATTTAATTAATTTTATTTTAAATGCAAGCTGATAACATTTAATAGGAAAAGCCTTTCCTAATACAATGGAGCAAACATTCTTGTTTTTTGTATGAACTCCACAATATCTGCAAGTGGAAACTCCATAATTATAAGAGCCCTGAACTGAGAGCCAAGTTTTACTTGTATTAACCTCATAAGTATTTCTCAACAGGGAGGGAAATAAAAATGAATCTAGTGGTGCCCAATGGCTCACAAATCTACATCCTTTGGACAGAAATTCATCATACTGTCAGGATCGAGCATAGCAAGATTCTTCTGAATTATATGCACCATCTTGTTAAATTCCTTTGAGTAGGCGGTTAGAAATTTAGCGATATTGGATTTTTTTTCTTTCGGCTAGAATTACACCATGTTGTCTCACATATTTCTTGTTACTGTCACTATGCAATAGCTCACCTCTAGATTTCTGCATAGCTTTCCACTTCCCTTCTCATTGAGCCAAGATGGATAACCCCTTTATCTCAAACATGATGAAATAGCATGTGCTTCTTTATGGAAAATATCCAGAGTAGAGCATTTATGCAGTGCACTGGTAAGTTCTCATGTTGGAATCACCCTGATAGTGTGGCTAGGATGACAACTGGTCACTCTCAAAATAGAGTTACCAGCTACAGGTTTGTGGAAAGTACAAATACAATTTCATTGCCCATAAAACTAGATCAAGCAGCTACAAAAGGGCTTCCCATGTGCAAGAATGTAGAGCTCTCCCCACCAGTCTATAAAAAAGTTGGCAGCAAAAATGATATTAATTATTTACTATAACAGCTGTATTTACATAGATGATATTCTAGGGCCTTGAGTGCCAAATACTCTGGTATGAAAAAAGAAAGGGGACAAACATTTAAAGTGACCCATAAATATTCTTCCACTGGAAATCCAATCATTGGCCTAAAATATGTCTTTATTAAATCTTAACAGATGTTAAGCTACTGGTTGTAGGTGGGCATTCACCCAATGTCCCAATCTCTCTGTCAATAAACCTATCCCAGCTACGCTAGGGCAACCCTTGGGAACAAAAGCTCCCCCTTGTCGATCTTAGGGAAATAATAAAACACTGGAACCATACGTTGTGGCGAAGTCGAGCACATTGCGGGCTGGAATTAATTGCAATGTACCTCCTGCACTGTTAATGCATGGTATTTGCAATTAACACATGGCCCTGGTGTGAACGGGTTCTTAGCAAACAGAATGTCCTTCAGATAGGGTTTACATATACATTAATACAAATTCTAATAAAAGTTTGCACCAGCCATCTCACTAAAACCAATATTTCATCTCTTCTATTCCCCTGCAATCCTTGTATCTTTCTGTGTGTGCCCTCTGTTTGATCTGATTATACATTTTATAGTGGCAAATGTTGTCTACAAATGGAAATAAACCTTACTGCCCCAGATAGGGGTTATGCTAAAGCCAAAAATTAATTTTGGCCACAGAAATAAGCCAAAGATAAAATTCAGAATTATGTATTTTCGATGACTTATGTATTAGTGATTTTTGTACAGTTTTCAGTTCAACAATAGATGCAAGGGGCAGGGGACATGACTCACCTGAACACTTCAGTGCAACAACATAACCCGAAAGACACTCCCTTCTGTAAAAAAAAAATTGTTATAAACACAATGAAATACACTACAAAATAAGCTGCAAGCTTAATAGTGATGGGCTCGATGTTCGAGCCGAGCGTGAGATCGACTTGAACATCGGCAGTTTGTGTGCTCGGCAAACACACAAACTGTCAGGGCGTTTGGTGGGCTGTTCGCATGCCAAGCGCCCCGCACAAGGCCCCGTGCATTGTGGGCCCTGATTAGCTAAAACCTTGCACTTAGCCACAGGTAAGGTGCAAGACTTTGCCCAATCAGGGCAAAGAGAACTGTGAGAGCAATGATTGGGCAAAGTCATGATGACTCTGCCCAATCATGGCTCACCTGTTACAACTGTAAACAGTTGGGCGGAGCTAGCTGTCACTGCTAGCTCTGCCCAATTGTTTATAAGTTACAGGCATCTGTGAAAATGCCATTCTGCGGCGGGTGTTCGTTGCAGCGGACGGGACGGCATCGTCGTTTAAAAAAAAAGTATTTCTATTTATTTTTTATTGTTTTGCTTTTTATTTCATCGAGTTGTCTTTGTCAGGGACAACGCTAGACGTTGTGATTGATGCTGGATTACGTCGATGGATCCATTTTTTTTTAAAATAAAAGACATGTCAAAAACATGTCTTTTGTTTTTTTTTCAAAAGTGTGGCCTCTTTTTTAATACTTTTATTTAACCCTTTTGTGAATGGGTAGGGGTGGAAGTACCCCTTACTCATTCACATGGGGTGGGGCAGATCTGGGTGCCCCTATATTAAAGGGGTACCCTCATGTGAAAAAGCCTCCTGCCCGCACCCCCACAACCAATGCCCCAGGGCACATGGACAAGGTGCTTTTCCAGGGGTGACCTTGGAAAAGCACCCTCCCAGTGCCGAAGGACATGTGGCCTGGTATCGCAGGGAGGGGAAGTGTCACTTTAAGTTAAAAAAAGTTTCATATTAGCATTTCAGTTTTTTATAGGAAGTTACTTATAAACCATCTGAGGCATATATAAACAACATATTAAAAGCATTCCTAATGTTTTTTGTCTAGTCAAGCTAAGCCTTAGAATTTTTTGAAGGAAATGAGTGGCTAATTAGCTTATGGAAAAAACCAGAGCTGAGAGAGGTGATAAAAGACTGAACACTAACGGGCTGCTTTATGATGTGTTTGCAGTGCATTCATTTCTATGCTACTCGGCTCTATCTAGTGGCAGTAATGTGTTTGCGAATGTCATTTGCACAGCTATGCACTGTGCAAATGCAGTATAATTCAGCCCTTTAATTTCATAATAGAACATTTCAAGATTTTGTATGCTTTCAAATATGTATTAATTTCAGGGAATAACATACCTGGTTTGCCATATATGTTCTGTTGAAGTGGTCTGAGCAAGAGGTATCTGTGCAAATCCTTGAGTATGATTTAGTCTGAAGTTTGTTAGGTTTACAGCTTTGTGGTGAATAAGCCTTTGGGAAGTTATTAAAAAAAAACAACAAAAGTAAATTATACAGTGCTGAATACTTTATCTCTTTATATAAAAAAAAATCCTTATAACTTAAAAAACAGACCTTCTAAATCCAAAATGTAACAGATGTATAATGTGCATGAAACATGGCCAAAGGCAACATTAGCTGTCTCTCTTGTAAGTTAGGAATTGTTCACAGGTAGCTGGTGAGTCTCATTAGCATGCAGTTGATAGTCATTGCTGACATATGATATATGATAAATACAGTAGATAGATTTTTTTTTTTTAAGTTAGTGCTTCTATACTAGTGCAGCCAGGTGTGGAATGTGGTAATGTGGTAATTTTGCAACTGTAAGAACAGGATGGGAGTCGCATGCCCCTACGTTGTAGTGCAGTGGAATTTCCTACCTGATATAACCTAGTCGTTTACACACAAGTGTTGCCCAAGCTGAGTTCCATCCTTCATGGCAGGTTAGGAGCCATTCTTGTCTATATTCCACCTGTACTTCCAACAATAGGTTTTCTGTGTTTATTCTGAAAGATACTGAAACAATTTTTTATTAAATAATGTTTTCCTAAGCTAAAACACAAAAGCTTGTAATAAAAATAAATCTTTATGTATCAAGCCACTGACTTTATGTGACTGGCTTCATCTAATAAAACCTGAAATCCCTATGACTGTGCCTTGTTAGATCTCATCAGACCATATGCTATTAATGAACCAGACATAATGAAATTGGTTGTGCTTGGAAATAGATAGCTTGGCCATTTGTGAAAATTACACCTGTATATATTTGGCCTGAATTCTAAATCTTTGCAAGGATATGAACTATAGGAGTGTCATTTCCAACTCCTGAACCAGCCTGGGTGTGCTGCTGGTTTAGTGAGGGAACATAACTAATATTTCAGTTTTTGGTAGATCGTGGTGGGGTTAAACCTTTGTGGTGGGGTTAAACCTCCACCACAAAGATTTAGGTCTCTCAGGACTTCAGTAAAGTTCTGCTGTCAAGTTCTCAAGTCTGCACACTTGTTGCACCCATTAGGAAGGGGATATATTTCTTATGTTGGATTTCAAATCTATTTGATATTTTAACGAATGTAACTGGAGGAGTGGGAAAACCTCAATAATAGGAGTGAACACCCCAAATTCCAAAGCATTTGTGAGAAGAAAGGGGTTTTGACAGATATTTAATTGCTGGATCCCCCAAGAGGTGTGAGGGGCCAGGGGGGCACTCAACCCACCAGTCTTACGTTATAACTGAAATATAATTTTTAGGGGAGAGAATTCACTGCGATAGTGGATTTTCTTTTTTCAATTTTTAAAGAGAATATATCAATGCTGGGGAGGGATGTAAATGTCTGGAGGTATAAAGCAACCTTGAAAACCCTCCTGGCTGTTCTGACAGGCAAAATGTCAACAATTAATGATAGGGCCAAAGCCTGCTCACATCATTTTGTCTCCTGAACAATCATTTTGGTCAGTGAGGCTTAGCTGCAAGCTCCAGCACTACCTGAAAATAACTGCGTTTTGCCTGACAGAGTTCATACTAGTCTGGAATGAAAGCAAGACCTTGGAGGCTTCTTCAGGTATGTTCAGGTACCTAGAGGTGCTTGCACTTCATACCTGCAACAATTACCCTCCGTCACAGAATCTCATAAACAGATGCTTTTCAAATAAAACGAGCCAGTTTAAATTCAGTAGTTGTCCCATGGATTTGTGTTACTGTACTCTTGATGATGCATTACATCCCCATACTTTCTTCCTATCACAGCCTAAGCACAACATACAATATATTACTTTAAACATAGTTAACGTATTCGGTTAGTTTTGCTCTAAATCAAAGTCAGCTAAAATCTGAAAAAAAAAAATAACTTTGATTTTCATCTTTTGATTAAAGTAAACGGAAGTGAGGTGGCTTGTTTCCCTCTCTATTTTCAAACTTCAAACCACATTTAGTGCAATAGCATAAACAATGTACATGGCAATTCATCAAGGCATTTACAACACATTTCTGAAGGTATGGATAAGTCAAAATCCTTGCACCAAATTCATGAAGCCTGTGCAACATTTTCATTGTTAGTACCAATGTGTGCGACAATTTCAAGTAGTTCTTTTTTGTGACACTTTTATTATTTGTTGCTAATGTTGCAACAATATATAAAGAAATAACAGTGATAGGGAAGGTGGAGATAAATAAGACACCTTTTATTTTGGAGTATATTGTGCAACAGTTCTGTCAGATTTGAGACAGATCCATATACACCTCACTGACGCATGAATTTGACCTTACATGAATCTGCAATAGGTTGTACCATTTTTCACACTACACTAATGAGCATCTATGACACTCTTTATGAATTTCATAGATAGATTTGGGTCAGTGTTGCTGAATGTATGTGCATACCATTTCCAAAAATTTCCATTCATTCTCCATCATCGCCCTTATAAGTGAAAATACCATCTTCAACCAGGTAGAACAACCCCATATGCTGTTTTACTGGCACCACTGGTAAGCCTTCTCTAATATTAGGAGCACTACTTAACTTTCTACTATTCTTCTATTGCAAACGGTTAAACAGTTTGGAGTTTGGTCACTGTGCAGAGACCCAGATTGTCAACAGTGGGAAGGAGGGCTCTCTTTCTTTCTACACTATATAGCCAAACATTTGTGGACACCTGACCATCACTCCTAGTTATGTTGCAAAAGGTGTGTGGATACCTGGCCAGATTGTTGAGTTGAGATGTTTCTAGTGAAGAAAACTGTTATTGCTACAGCGTAAAAAGACATTTTAGACAAATGAACACTTCCGACCCAGGCAAATGTTTGTGGAAGGTCCTTTTCTGTTCTAGAGGTACAAAACCAACTTTAATGGCCTGCACATAGTCATAGCCTCCAACCTGGTGAAAACCTTTGGGATGAACCATGTCTTCTTGTCCAACATCAGTAACGGTCTTCACAAATGCTCTTTTTTGCTGCATCGGCACAAAGTTCCTCAAATCTTGCAAAATTCCTTCCCAGAAGAGTAGAGGCTGTTATAGCTGCAAAGGTTCATGTTACACACCCTTTATGTAAATATTTTTAGCAGATTTGGATCTTAATGCTATAAAATGCATTGATATTTAGATGCTCAGTGCAGTTGGACTAATTAAATGTGATTTATAATTGGATGACAGAAGCTACCCCTCTGTGTTATTTTCTGTTTGCCTTATTAATTTTAACAATAAGTTTTATTAGGCTTGCATATAATAAATACAAACATACAATTTGGTACAAAGAGGGAAAAAAAAGGACAAAAAGGCATCAGACATGTGGCAGATACAGCAGCATAAAGGGTACCAACAGTATACCCAACCTAAATTTTAAATCTTACAGCATAACCTGAATATAGAAATACATTTTCCCGCATAAATCTTTAATCAGCATATTAAAGTAAACATGACGTAGAGATGTGATTATATTAGTAGGAAGGCAAAACAAAGTTTAGTCAATTAATTTTAGCCAGGCATCTGGAATCCGAAAGCCAGCAGGACCATTGGGAGGTGAAGAGATGAGTGGTAAGATTTGCTTTAGCAAAGAGAAATTCAAAGTGCGCATGAGTATTTAAGATTTGTATGACATTTCGTAGAGGAGGGGGTTGAGGTTGTTTCCAGGCTCTTGCTATAGCCAGTTGAGCGGCAATGAGGACATGAGATACCACTGTGCGGGATGTTTTAGGCCAAACTTCCAAACCTATTCCCAGTAAAGCGAGTTGTGGGGATAGATTGCACGGAGCCCCGGTGAGTATGGATATAAGAGCAGAGATATCAGACCAGAAAGACTTGAGTGAGTCGCATGACCACCAAGTATGAGACAATGAGCCCACCAAACCACATCCTCGCCAACAGAGCGGGGAAGAAGAGGGGAAGGCCCTCGCTAATCTCTGGGGCGTAAAATACCATTTGTGTAATATTTTTTGAACAGATTCCCAATGACTCAGACATTTAGATGTTTTTAAAGGTTGGGAGATAACTACATACCATTGCTCTAGTGGTATGGAGAAGTGTAGTTCCCTTTCCCACCAGAGCATGGACGGCAACTTTACAGAGTCGTTTGGTTCACTCAATAGCCTGTAGAAAAAAGATATACCCTTCCCAGTGGGGGAACATTTATTATAGAAAGCAATAGCTCTTCTAATAATTGTGTTGTCTTTAATATGTAGAGAGGCTATACAGTGCCTAATTCTGAGATACTTGTAAAAATCATGAGTCGGAAGAGAGTATTTTTCACATAGGGCCTGAAACGAGAGCAAACGACCATCAGAGAACAAGTTATCAAGGTGTGTAATCCCCAGATGTACCCAATTTTTCAGTTGCATGTCAGTAAGAAGCAAATCAAGTGTGTCTAGTGGTATGTATTGTGACAGGGTACACGACTCTGTGTATGTCAGTGAGAGGTTGAAAAGGGCAGCTTTCCCTGGCTAGGAAAGGGTTAAGCCTGGCCCAACAGGTAAACCTCCTCTCTATCTCTCTCTCTATTAATTAGCCTGCACCTGATAGTGACTGGGAGGGAGTGAGAGCTCAGAGTGAGATCCAGGCTGCACTGGATGGACACAGACTGGAGAGTGTCTGCATATCTGGGGAATAAGGTCTGTCAGAACAATTGTTTGTATTGGACTGCGGTTTTTGTCCATTTATACTGGAAGCTGGAATAGCCGCTCCAGTAGGACGTAGTGAGGGACACTACTGTTTAGTTAGCCTCCTAAGGTGGAGTAGGCCTTTTTATTTGTGTTACTTTTTCGTTGGATGCAATAAAGCTGCATTTATTGCCATTACTGTTTAAAGACCAGTGACTTTCCTACAGTATTTAAACATACATTTTTGCGTAGTAAAGGATTTGGCAGCCAACGAGTGCCAGACTCTGAGAGTTCCCGTGATAGAGTCTAGGTAGGATCTCTCAGGAGGACGATTGAGCATGGAGGAACACAGCATTAATTTAAGATCATTAGACAGAACAGTGCTTTCAATCTGAGACCACAGCTTGTCAGGGCTGTAGGCCCACCTGTGCTTCGTTTGGTCTAAAAGATTAGCTTTGTAATAGAGGGCTACCTCCGGGGCTCCCATACCTGCATAAGGCTTAGGCCTGTATAGACTGAATTTAGAAATTCTGTGAGATTTACCATTCCAGATAAAATTGTCTAAGAGACGCTGCAGTTTTTTCAAGTAAATTGGCAATAGGGGAAGGGGTAGGGCTCTAAAAATGTATAAAATATGAGGTAGAACATACATTTTGATGAGATTTATTCTTCCCGCCCATGAGACAGTAGATTTAGTTAGGTCCGAGCAAATAGTTGCTACAGAGGTCAGAAGTGTGGTATAATTGAGCTTGAAGGTATTAGAGCTAGGGGACGTCAGGTTGATCCCTAAGTATCTCAGGGTAGCAGAGGGGGCCCAGGAGAAAGGGGATATAGTAGGGATAGAGGTTTTGAGCATTGGTGGAATATTAATGGCTAACATATGGGATTTTTAATGATTTATCTTATAAAAGGACAGTTTGCTAAAGTGAG